ATATAAACATATAGATGTAATAAGAACAAATCTTGAGACCAGTCTCTGTGTGATTTGATTTGAAGTGTTGGGGAAAGACTTCGAAGGTGAGAGAGATGGCGCGACAGATGCAGAGTGGAAAGAACGAGTGGATAAATGGAAAGCGAGGCAAGAGAAGAGAGGTTTAGTGACTAAAGGAGCACAAACAAAGGATCAAGACAACGAAGACGATGAAGAAGAAGAATACCTGTAAATAAATACTCCAATAAGCATATTCTGTTATTTCTTTAGTCTCAAGTAATATAAAGACTTAAACTGCAAGTAACTGAGTACTTCTTGTTGTTTAACAGAGATGCTGAAGCAAGACAACCTCTCTGGAGAAAAGTCCCAATCTCATCGAGCAAAATCAGTCCTTACAGGATCGTGATCGTTCTCCGTCTCGTGATCTTAGCTTTCTTCTTCCGTTTCCGTATCTTGACACCAGCCAACGACGCATACCCTCTCTGGCTTATCTCAGTCATCTGCGAGATCTGGTTCGCTCTCTCTTGGATCCTCGATCAGTTCCCAAAATGGTTCCCGATCAACCGAGAAACCTACCTCGACCGTCTCTCCATGAGATTCGAAAGAGATGGCGAAAAGAACAAGCTTGCACCGGTCGATGTGTTTGTCAGTACGGTGGATCCGCTCAAGGAGCCTCCGATCATCACAGCCAACACTATCCTCTCGATCTTAGCCGTTGATTACCCGGTGAACAAGGTTAGCTGCTACGTCTCTGATGACGGTGCTTCGATGCTTCTGTTCGATACATTGTCTGAAACTTCCGAGTTTGCAAGAAGATGGGTTCCGTTCTGCAAGAAGTACAATGTAGAGCCAAGAGCTCCAGAGTTTTACTTCTCTGAGAAGATTGATTACCTGAAGGATAAAGTCCAAACCACATTCGTCAAAGATCGCAGAGCAATGAAGGTCAGTAATGAACAAAAAAAAGAAGAAGATCTTTTCTACTTTCAAATCAAACCACACAAGACAAGGATCTTTACTTTCTTCTCTAATCGTTTTGCAGAGAGAGTATGAAGAATTCAAAGTGAGGATCAATTCTTTGGTAGCTAAAGCTCAGAAGAAACCTGAAGAAGGTTGGGTGATGCAAGACGGTACTCCATGGCCTGGCAACAACACTCGTGATCATCCCGGGATGATTCAGGTCACATTCAAAACCTCAAAACCCAACTTCAAAGGTTACACATTTGGCGCTAAAACAATATCTTTCGGATGGTTCGATTGCTTTTTTCAGGTGTATCTAGGAAAAGAAGGAGCTTTCGACATCGATGGCAACGAATTGCCACGGCTTGTGTATGTGTCGAGAGAGAAGCGTCCTGGTTACGATCACCACAAGAAAGCTGGAGCCATGAATGCAATGGTAAGTAGGCAAGTAAGCCCATCAAAAGAAGAAGTAAACTGTTTTCTAATGAACACAATGGTTTCAGGTTCGAGTCTCAGCAGTGCTCACGAATGCTCCATTCATGCTGAATCTTGATTGTGACCATTACATCAACAACAGTAGAGCCATTAGAGAATCAATGTGCTTCCTCATGGATCCACAGCTTGGGAAAAAGCTCTGTTACGTTCAGTTCCCTCAGAGATTCGATGGAATCGATCGTAATGATCGATACGCCAACAGAAACATCGTCTTCTTCGATGTAAGCCCATCACCATTTCAAACAAATAAACACTCAAAGATAAACCCCTAAATCTATTCTCTTGCAGATAAACATGAGAGGCTTAGATGGGATTCAAGGACCAGTCTACGTTGGAACAGGATGTGTATTCAATAGACCGGCACTGTACGGATACGAGCCTCCGGTATCGGAGAAACGAAAGAAGATGACCTGCGATTGCTGGCCGTCGTGGCTCTCCTGCTGCTGCGGCGGAGGAAGCCGTAAGAAGTCGAAATCGTCCGACTCGAAGAAGAAGTCGGGCATTAAGAGCTTGTTATCTGGGTTGAGGAGGAATAAGAAGAAGAAGAGCGATGCGGTGGCGAGGAAAAGATCGACAGAGGCGATTTTCGATCTGGAAGACATCGAGGAAGGGCTTGAAGGGTACGACGAGCTCGAGAAATCGTCTTTAATGTCGCAGAAAAACTTCGAGAAGAGGTTCGGGATGTCTCCTGTGTTTATTGCGTCGACGTTGATGGAGAACGGAGGGTTACCGGAGGCGACGAACACGAGCTCACTGATCAAAGAAGCGATTCATGTTATTAGCTGTGGGTACGAAGAGAAAACTGAATGGGGCAAAGAGGTAATACTGTTAAAATATAGGTTGCTAATTGGTAATATCATGGAATTGAGGAAATCACAGAAAATAAATAAAAGTTTAAATTTTTGGAGGTTTAGTATAAGTATAAGATTAATCCATTAGAAACAAGAATTTTGGATTCAGATTGATAATCTACTTTTACTAATCAAACTTTTTGAAAAATCTCTATTTTCATTCATTATTATGTCATTTAGTAAATTTAAATTTTACCGATGAAAAAAATTATGTTTTAGAAATGTGGTTTTGTTTGGTTTTACTATTTATAACATTTTATCAAATTTCTACTATAATACAACTAATATTTCAATTAATATCTATAAAAAAATATCACATAATAATTCCACATTTTTATTTACTATTGGTTTTTATTTAAAAAACATAATTTTACAATTTATCAATGATTCTTCTAAAATTATATTGTTCACGAAAAAATCTATATAACAACATAATTTATATGGTTTTCATCCTTTAAACTTGCAGAATCACAAAATTATTTAGCTATTCCACCATTTTATGAATTTTTTTTTTTTTTTGACAAAGTACCATTATATGAATTATTAATCAACACGATGACTAATTTGATATTAAAAAAACGGTGATTTTGATTCTTGACTATATTGATTCATGATTTTTTTTTTTTTTTTTTTTGTTTCAACATTGTATATTCAGATCGGATGGATTTACGGGTCAGTCACAGAAGATATTCTTACGGGGTTCAAAATGCATTGTAGAGGATGGAAATCGGTTTACTGCATGCCTAGCAGACCAGCATTCAAAGGATCAGCACCGATCAATCTATCAGACCGGTTGCACCAAGTGCTTCGATGGGCGCTTGGTTCGGTCGAAATCTTCTTCAGCCGTCATTGTCCGTTGTGGTATGCGTGGGGAGGCAAACTCAAGATTCTTGAACGTATGGCTTACGTCAACACCATTGTTTATCCTTTCACTTCTATTCCTCTTCTCGCCTATTGTACTATTCCGGCCGTTTGTCTTCTCACCGGCAAGTTCATCATCCCCACGGTTAGTCTTTTGACTCTTTATACCTTTTAACTCTTAAAAGTTCATGTTTTTAACCCAACAGTTTATAAGCTTTGGTCTTGCCCCTAACACTACTAATTTTATTGGCAAAATTAGCAATTTGCATTCCCCAAAAAGCTATCATTTATCATAATTTCCAAAAAGTTACATTTTTTACTCCTAAAACTTATACAAAATCCTCCTCTGTTTTTCCATTTTTTCGGAAAAAAGAACTATCAAATCCATTTGTCCAGAATTTACCACCATCGAATTTTTACTCTCTTACCCCTTAAGTGCCCTTAGATTTACACTTTAACCGTAAAGGTTCTTGATTTGTCCTCACAAAGCTCACAAAAACAGAGAAATTGTCAAATTGTTAGAAATTACCAAATTTTGTAAAACCCATTTTTTCTCTTTTTGATCAGATCAACAATTTCGCGAGCATATGGTTCCTCGCTCTGTTTCTATCAATCATCGCGACGGCGATCCTAGAGCTCCGGTGGAGCAACGTGAGCATCAACGACCTCTGGCGTAACGAGCAATTCTGGGTAATCGGCGGCGTCTCCGCTCACCTCTTCGCCGTATTTCAAGGTCTCCTCAAAGTCCTCTTCGGCGTCGACACCAACTTCACCGTCACATCCAAAGGAGCCACCGACGAAGCCGACGAGTTCGGAGATCTTTACCTCTTCAAATGGACGACTCTCCTCATCCCTCCCACCACTCTCATCATCCTCAACATGGTCGGCGTCGTCGCCGGAGTCTCCGACGCAATTAACAACGGGTACGGCTCTTGGGGACCGCTTTTCGGGAAACTGTTCTTCGCGTTTTGGGTCATCGTTCATCTTTACCCGTTCCTCAAAGGTTTGATGGGTCGGCAAAATCGAACTCCGACGATCGTCGTTCTCTGGTCGATCCTCCTCGCGTCGATTTTCTCGCTGGTTTGGGTTCGGATCGATCCGTTTTTGCCGAAACAGACTGGTCCGTTACTGAAGCAGTGTGGCGTCGACTGTTAAATGAGGAACATAAAAAGTGCGTTTTATATCGCGTTTGCGTTTTGGTCGCTCTTTTTAAGCCATCTTTTGATTGGCCTATATTTTTCCCGAGTTGGGTGCTCTTTGATTTTAGCAAAGATGGATTTGTAACAAAAAGATAGAACATTCAAACTATGAATCACATTTGGAGTTCAAAGACAAATTTGTGTAAAAAATCAAGCCCAATTGAAAATGTGTTTGTATAGCTTTTGCGTTTTACTCGCCCTTTGAGCCATATTGATTGGCCTGTTTTTCCAGAATTGGGTTTTTGTTCCATTATAGCGAGATTGTAACATGGTGAGATTGTTACATGAGTCCATAAAAATGTGCGTTTTGTACCGCGTTTGCGTTTTGCTTGGCCTATTTTTCCCGATTTGGGTGTTCTTTGTTCGATTTTGGCAAAGATGGATTTGTAAACATTCAAACTATGAATCACATTTGGAATTTAAAAGACAAATTTGTGTAAAATACAAACAAATAAATGAATATTAATAACCAAACCCACACACCCACAACGATTTGGTTTATCAAAAACAGACAAGACACACAACACAACACACACAAAATGTGGTAATAACTTCACAAAGGCTAATATTTTTACTCACACTAATCAAACATGTTGTGGAACTTGGAAGAGAGCTTGGATTCATACTTCTCTGTACTTCACTTGTTTATAGTCATTGAGTGATTGTTCCAATAACCACCGACTGTTCCGATAATAGGCGATTCAGGGCTTCTACTCGGAGATTTCCTTGGAGAATTCGTAGCTGAGAACTGTTTGATCTCCTCTGAAGTCAACGCTCCCAATATAGGTCTTTCATCGTAGCTTTGAACCGGTTTTGAGTAGTTAGAGACGCTGCTGCATCCGCTGGTCTGCGATGTTACGGACAACCAAGTTGAGAGACTAGCATCAACAGCCACTTCTTGTCTTGTCTGTTTCTTGGTTTCATCTCTTGCCTTCTTGCTGACTGATACACGAGGCTCCTCTAAGCTGAAAGAAGCGTTTAGTTCGGACGATATGAGATTAGCGTTCTCCTTCCGAGACTGTATCTGTGTTGTTGTTGTTGTTGTTGTTGTTCCTCTGGATTTCACAGCTTTCCATTGAGTGAGATTCTCGATCGGGTTAAGCACTGCGTTGACGTATCCGCTTCTGTCTCTAACACTCACGTTAGGCTTCTTCTTCTCTATGTCCAAAACATTATCAGTAATCTCCTCTGTGTAAACTTCTTTATCCCAACTCTGAAGTCTATCCTCGTAAATTTTATCGTCATTGAAGTCTTCTTCCGGAAGGATAAAACCACAATAATCAACTTCATCATCGATATCGCTTTCGTCGCAATCTGTTACATCCTCTTCTTCTTCTTCTTCTTCTTCATCGTCGCTTTCTCTACAATTCTGGTATCTATGGTTTGAAGGATAAGACCCTGAAGAGTTTGAAGTAACATCGCTCCCATCAGATGAGCATTCAGACTTCTTCAAAGGCTTCTCTTCCACTTTCTTCTCTTCCAAGAGCTCAATAGATTCATCTACTGCAATGGGTTCGTATGTTTTGACATTGGAGTCAAAAGTCACTTTCTTACGAGTTGGACTCGGACTCGGATTCGGAATCGGACTCGTACTGTGTTTCTCCTCCTCAGCTTTGTCACTGCGAACAAATAATAACTCAAATCTGTTAGCTAAAAAGCCTAAAATCAAAGGCGCGAAACCTGATTTTTAAGGTACAAGAACAAAACTCACCAGATATCAATGGTCGGAATCACAGAGATTTTAGGGGTTTCCTCAACAGCAGGAACCCTAGCATTGATACGATAATCCGAGATTTCAGAGATTTTTTCAGCAGTGGTAACACTAAGATTCCGATGAACATCCTGTGTAGACTTATCAGAGATTCTCTACATAAATCGAATAAAATTACTTCAGATAAAGCAAATCTCAAACGAAAATTGAAACTGAAATTTTCTTTAAAGAATCAGAGAGAAAAAACTTACGTTTGAACGAGGCTGAAAAGATTCCCGGCGTTTCTGACGGCGGCGATTTTTCTTACGGCCGAAGCAACCTAGCAAGCAACCCATTTCCTTCGAGATTTCAAAACCCTAGAGAGAGAGAGATTTTCTTCCAATGGCTTTCACAGATTGTTATTGATCGACATAGAACTCAGAAGAGCTGTAGAGAGAAGCTTACTCATTGATTATTTTATTTATTCCTTAAGATTTCCTTTTTTAAAAAACGGCAAATTTCCTTTTTCTTTTTAAGTTTAATTATATTAATATATTAATTTTTGGGGGAAAAAGGTTTGATATGACCGTTACAATGTCTGACCCACACACATTAGGCTATGAAATTGGACCGTTGCTCTGGTGGGCCCTCGCTTTATCGTAAGAGATAATATTTTAAAATCAGAGAGATAATGGGCCGCATAAAACCCAATTATTATCGGTCCACTAAAATAGTCGAGAGCTACTGGAGTAACTGAAGCTATATATTTTCCACGTGTGATGACGTATTTGCTGAAGGGACACGTGTACGGATGATATTAAATGGCGGGTAGATTTCTGATATGATTGGGCGGCATAAAGAATGTGATTTGAAACCAAGTCAAGTCTCTATCGCAAAAATTTGTAATGACTATAAAATGGGGATTTGGACCATTTAAATTTAGGTTTAGCTTAAACTTTAACGTGAGTGTAATTAGGGGCGGATTTATATAAAGTTCGTTTAGATTAACGTGAGTGTAATTAGGGGAGGATTAACGATACGACTTTAGGTTTGATCAAGAAGATTGTCTTAATAGTTGGTTCTTGTTAAGTGATTAGTGTTATCTCCTTCAATGCAAGCTTCTCGGAGCTCATTGGCACATATATATATATATATATATATATATATATATATATATCTGGAAATCCTTTTGCAGCTGTGCAAGTGTACCATTTATTTTCGTAAGAGATTAATACAAGTTATGGGGATCACAAATGTAGCATTTTTGGTGTATTCGTTTCTGTTTTTGGTTGAAATTTCTCTACTTTCAATATGATAAGGATAACGACATAATGTTGTAAAAAAATGAAGAAGATAGGATTTTTAATAATAATAAAACCATACAGACTTAAGTTAAGTCTACGCTAATGGACTAAGCCAACTATTATGCGCGTCCAATCTTAGGTGCGTTAATTGAGCCATCAGAAAGACGCGTTACGTTTAGCTATTTTAATTTTCTGTCATATGAATTTAAAGCTTTGAATTGTCTGCTTTTACCAGCACTGCTTGTCTCGACGTGTTCAAAGCTCCTTGCATTATCTTAATTCTATTTTTTTGGCCTCCAGGAGAATAGTATTTTACGTTTGAATTTGTTCATTATGTGCAAAAGTCATTTATATGGTTTTTTTTACAAATTTTCACCCTTCAATTTTGTTTCTATGCTCTTATTTTTCTGTGTGACATTTATTATACAAAGGTCTTTTAGGTGAATATATGAGTAGGAAAATAAAAAATATAACCATAAGAATTTCAAAATTAATTAGATAATTATAGTACTATTTTTTTGAACGTTTGGAGAATAGTATATTACGTTTGAATTTGTTCTAGATGTGCACGTCATTTATATGGTTTTTTTTTACAAATTTTCACCCTTCAATTTTGTTTCTATGCTCTTATTTTTGTGTGTGACATCTATTACACAAAGGTTTTTTAGGTGACTATATATATTGGGTAGAAAAATAAAGAATATAGCCATAAGAATTTCAAAATTAATTAGATAACTATAGTACTATTTATTTGAACGAAAATACTTTTATTTCAGATAATCATTTATTCAGTTTTTTTATTCTATACCGTTTAAATATAATAGTATAACATGTAAAATAAAAAATACATATTTTTGATACCAAATTTGAAATTGAAAGAAGGATTTAGCCAGGCACAAACAGAGCAAAGATATTAGAGCACCTCCAACGCTAAAAACTCTTAAATTGAGTAGTTTAACATATTAAATTAATATAATTTAAATAAAATAATTTAAATTTAAATATTAAAGGATTAGGCAAATTAAATGATGACACCTAGTTTTTTAAAATGAAACCGGGTTCTAAAGTATCTGATTTCAGAGACTGTCTCTCTCTTTTTTTCTTTTTTTACTATTATTTTTTTCTCTCTTTCCTTCTTTATCATTATTTTGAATATTTTAATAATTAGATAGTATAATGAGAACCTAGCGTTGGAGGTGGTCTTAGTCGTCAACGAAAACGACACAGTTGTGGCCATCAGCCACGACAAAGAGAAAATAAGAGACGGCGGAAAACAGATTTCAGAAGAGATATTCAACAGACAGAAATGACAAAGGGGGAGAGGGCCGCATGAAGAAAAGGGAAATGTATAGTGGAGACATTCGAACGAGAGCCGATGATAGAGTCAGAGGAACCAGAAACAAAGAGAAAAAATGTTACAAAACAATCGATCAAACTATAATATATGAATATGAAAAACAGTATAGACTTATTATATTCCTTTATTCAATTTGTCTACTTTATATTACTTACTATATCTAAACCCCGTAGATATACTTTTTGTAAGGTATAATTCATTATAAACTTTGAAATGAACCCAAATAATTTAAAACTAAACCCAAACCACTACTTATTATACTCAAACCATGTATATATACCTTTCGTAAGCTGTAATCCGTACATATACTCTTTGTAAGCTGTAATCCAAATAATTTAAAACTAAACTCAAACCACTACTTATTATACCCAAACCCCGTATATATATCTTTCGTAAGCTGTAATCCGTTAGAAACTTAAAAATAAACTCAAATAATTTAAAACTAAATCTAAATCACTATTTACTATACCCAAACCATGTACATATACCCCATCGTAAGTTGTAATATGTTATAAATTTTGAAATGAACTCAAATAGTTGAAAACTAAAATTCAAGCTACTACTTACTATATCTAAATTTCGTACATGCACTCTTTGTAAATTATAATATATTATAAATAATAAATTTTGAAATGAATTCAAATAATTTAAAACTAAACTCAAACTACTACTTATTATATCAAAAATTGCATTTATATTATATTATAAAGGAGACAGATTGGAGAGAGTGAAAGTCGACAAAAGAAACAGATAAAACAAAGAAGAATAGATAAGACGTTACAAAACAAATCGATTACTATATAAACATGAAAATAGTATAGACTTGTTAATATTTGAGAATATAGAAAATGACAAATTGGATATTATACATAATATACAGATAATATCATAGCACTTTTTGATATGGTTAGATTGTTAATATTGATTACCAATATAGTTATACAGCCTAATTTCCCATTATATAATACATTTGCGAGCGAGAAAATCACAAGTTACAAATATTTTGGTCAAAAAGATACACGTTAAGCTGTTGGTTATTTCTTAGACTTTATCGATTAATTAATTGTATTGGGTCTATATTAATAAATTCTAGGCAGTCGATTACTTTAATTAGAAAATTATTTAGCGTAACTTAATATTGTTTTCATGAATATATATATAAATGACTATATTCCTAGCAGCTGTACATTTTATAAGTTTTGATTAGCATCTTTCTATTTTTAGAATATTAGATAAAAACTTTTCAACTAGTAAGTATTAAAAACAGTATTGTTTTTACTTTTTACTTGGTGTTGGTAACTCAATCAATGTACTAAATGGTCATCAATTCGAAGAGTATTAAAGTTTTGAATTCGAACATGAAGGGGGCTAATTAACCTGTTTTATTTTTATGTTTATCCGTGTCGATTCTTTAGGTTTGGAGCTTATTAACCGATAGAACAAAGTAGTAAATTTAAACAAATTTGGATTTTATTTGGTGTTTCAGTTATAGTGTTGGAGAGAGCGAAAATCGACAAAAGAAAAAGACGAAACAAAAAAGAATAGACAAGACGTTACAAAATAAAATCGATTACTATATAAACATGAAAAATAATATAGACTTGTTAATATTTGAGAATATAGAAAATGACAAATTTGATATTATATATAATATACAGATAATATCATAGCACTTTTTTGATATGGTTTGATTGTTAATATTGATTACCAATATAGTTATACAGTCCAATTTTCCATTATACAATACACTTGAGAGCGAGAAAATCCCAAGTTACAAAGATTTTGGTCAAATAAAATATACATTAAGCTGTTGGTTATTTTTTAAATTTCGTCGATTAATCAATTGTATTGGATCTATATTAAAAAATTCTAGACAGTCGATTACTCTGATTAGAAAAATATTTAATATTGTTTTCATGAATACATAAATGACTATATTCCTAGAAGCTGTACATTTTTTGAGTTTTGATTAGCATATTTCTATTTTTAGATTATTAGATAAAAACTTTCTGACTAGTAATTAGTAAAAACAGTATTGTTTTTACTTTTTAATTGGTGTTGGTAACTCAATCAATGTACTAAATGGTCATCAATTCAAAGAGTATTAAAGTTTCGAATTCTAACATTAAAGGGGCTAGTTAACCTGTTTTATTTTTATGTTTATCCGTGTAGATTCTTTAGGTCTGGAGCTTATTAACTGATAGAACAAAGTAGTAAGTTTAAAAATTCTTGGATTTTATTTAGTGTTTGAGTTATAGTGTTGGAGAAAGCGAAAATTGTCAAAAGAAAGAGAGGAAACAGAAAAGAATAGACAAGACGTTACAAAACAAATCGATTACTATATAAACATGAAAAATAATATAAACTTGTTAATATTTGAGAATATAGAAAAGGATAAATTTGATATTAAACATAATATACAGATAATATCTTAGCACCTTTTTGATATGGTTAGATTGCTAATATTGATTACAATATAGTTATACAGTCCAATTTTTCATTATACAATATTATTATACAATATTCTTGAGAGCGGAAAAATCATAAATTACAAAGATTCTGGTCAAAGAAGATATATATTAAGCTGCTGGTTATTTTTTAGATTTTGTCGATTAATTAATTGTATTGGGTCTATATTAATAAATTCTAAACAGTCGATATGTGTAAAGACGATTACTCTAATTAGAAAAATATT